TGCAGCTCTATGGGTGCTGTCACTGCAGGGTCCCAGTGCAGCGCTATGGGTGCTGTCGTTGTGTGTCCCAGTGCAGCGCTATGGGTGCTGTCACTGCAGGGTCCCAGTGCAGCGCTATGGGTGCTGTCTCTGTGTCCCAGTGCAGCGCTATGGGTGCTGTCCCTTTGTGTTCCAGTGCAGCGCTATGGGTGCTGTCGCTGCAGGGTCTCAGTGCAGCGCTATGGGTGCTGTCCCTGTGTGTCCCAGTGCAGCGCTATGGGTGCTGTTACTGTGTCCCAGTGCAGCGCTATGGGTGCTGTCCCTGTGTTTCCCAGTGCAGCGCTATGGGTGCTGTCACTGCAGGGTCCCAGTGCAGCGCTATGGGTGCTGTCTCTGTGTCCCAGTGCAGCGCTATGGGTGCTGTCCCTTTGTGTTCCAGTGCAGCTCTATGGGTGCTGTCGCTGCAGGGTCCCAGTGCAGCGCTATGGGTGCTGTCGCTGCAGGGTCCCAGTGCAGCGCTATGGGTGCTGTCGCTGCAGGGTCCCAGTGCAGCGCTATGGGTGCTGTCGCTGCAGGGTCCCAGTGCAGCGCTATGGGTGCTGTCGCTGCAGGGTCCCAGTGCAGCGCTATGGGTGCTGTCACTGCAGGGTGTCAGTGCAGCGCTATGGGTGCTGTCCCTGTGTGTCCCAGTGCAGCGCTATGGGTGCTGTTACTGTGTTTCCCAGTGCAGCGCTATGGGTGCTGTCGCTGCAGGGTCCCAGTGCAGCGCTATGGGTGCTGTCCCTTTGTGTTGCAGTGCAGCGCTATGGGTGCTGTCACTGCAGGGTCCCAGTGCAGCGCTATGGGTGCTGTCCCTGCAGGGTCCCAGTGCAGCGCTATGGGTGCTGTCACTGCAGGGTCTCAGTGCAGCGCTATGGGTGCTGTCGCTGCAGGGTCTCAGTGCAGCGCTATGGGTGCTGTTACTGTGTCCCAGTGCAGCGCTATGGGTGCTGTCCCTGTGTTTCCCAGTGCAGCGCTATGGGTGCTGTCGCTGCAGGTTCCCGGTGCAGTGCTATGGGTGCTGTCTCTGTGTCCCAATGCAGCACTATGGGTGCTGTCCCTTTGTGTTCCAGTGCAGCGCTATGGGTGCTGTTGCTGCAGGGTCCCAGTGCAGCGGTATGGGTGCTGTTGCTGTGTTCCGGTGCAGCGCTACGGGTGCTATCCCTGTGTGTCCCAGTGCAGCTCTATGGGTGCTGTCACTGCAGGGTCCCAGTGCAGCGCTATGGGTGCTGTCGTTGTGTGTCCCAGTGCAGCGCTATGGGTGCTGTCCTTTGTGTTCCAGTGCAGCGCTATGGGTGCTGTCTCTGTGTCCCAGTGCAGCGCTATGGGTGCTGTCCCTTTGTGTTCCAGTGCAGCTCTATGGGTGCTGTCGCTGCAGGGTCCCAGTGCAGCGCTATGGGTGCTGTCCCTGTGTTTCCCAGGGCAGCGCTATGGGTGCTGTCCCTGTGTTTCCCAGTGCAGCGCTATGGGTGCTGTTACTGTGTTTCCCAGTGCAGCGCTATGGGTGCTGTCGCTGCAGGGTCCCGGTGCAGCGCTATGGGTGCTGTCTCTGTGTCCCAGTGCAGCGCTATGGGTGCTGTCCCTTTGTGTTCCAGTGCAGCGCTATGGGTGCTGTTGCTGCAGGGTCCCAGTGCAGCGCTATGGGTGCTGTTGCTGTGTCCCGGTGCAGCGCTATGGGTGCTATCCCTGTGTGTCCCTGTGCAGCTCTATGGGTGCTGTCACTGCAGGGTCCCAGTGCAGCGCTATGGGTGCTGTCGTTGTGTGTCCCAGTGCAGCGCTATGGGTGCTGTCACTGCAGGGTCCCAGTGCAGCGCTATGGGTGCTGTCTCTGTGTCCCAGTGCAGCGCTATGGGTGCTGTCCCTTTGTGTTCCAGTGCAGCGCTATGGGTGCTGTCGCTGCAGGGTCCCAGTGCAGCGCTATGGGTGCTGTCGCTGCAGGGTCCCAGTGCAGCGCTATGGGTGCTGTCACTGCAGGGTCTCAGTGCAGCGCTATGGGTGCTGTCCCTGTGTGTCCCAGTGCAGCGCTATGGGTGCTGTTACTGTGTCCCAGTGCAGCGCTATGGGTGCTGTCCCTGTGTTTCCCAGTGCAGCGCTATGGGTGCTTTCGCTGCAGGGTCCCAGTGCAGCGCTATGGGTGCTGTCACTGCAGGGTCCCAGTGCAGCGCTATGGGTGCTGTCGTTGTGTGTCCCAGTGCAGCGCTATGGGTGCTGTCACTGCAGGGTCCCAGTGCAGCGCTATGGGTGCTGTCTCTGTGTCCCAGTGCAGCGCTATGGGTGCTGTCCCTTTGTGTTCCAGTGCAGCTCTATGGGTGCTGTCGCTGCAGGGTCCCAGTGCAGCGCTATGGGTGCTGTCGCTGCAGGGTCCCAGTGCAGCGCTATGGGTGCTGTCGCTGCAGGGTCCCAGTGCAGCGCTATGGGTGCTGTCGCTGCAGGGTCCCAGTGCAGCGCTATGGGTGCTGTCACTGCAGGGTGTCAGTGCAGCGCTATGGGTGCTGTCCCTGTGTGTCCCAGTGCAGCGCTATGGGTGCTGTCACTGCAGGGTGTCAGTGCAGCGCTATGGGTGCTGTCCCTGTGTTTCCCAGTGCAGCGCTATGGGTGCTGTCGCTGCAGGGTCCCAGTGCAGCGCTATGGGTGCTGTCCCTTTGTGTTGCAGTGCAGCGCTATGGGTGCTGTCACTGCAGGGTCCCAGTGCAGCGCTATGGGTGCTGTCACTGCAGGGTCCCAGTGCAGCGCTATGGGTGCTGTCACTGCAGGGTCTCAGTGCAGCGCTATGGGTGCTGTCGCTGCAGGGTCCCAGTGCAGCGCTATGGGTGCTGTCACTGCAGGGTCTCAGTGCAGCGCTATGGGTGCTGTCCCTGTGTGTCCCAGTGCAGCGCTATGGGTGCTGTTACTGTGTCCCAGTGCAGCGCTATGGGTGCTGTCCCTGTGTTTCCCAGTGCAGCGCTATGGGTGCTGTTACTGTGTTTCCCAGTGCAGCGCTATGGGTGCTGTCGCTGCAGGTTCCCGGTGCAGTGCTATGGGTGCTGTCTCTGTGTCCCAGTGCAGCACTATGGGTGCTGTCCCTTTGTGTTCCAGTGCAGCGCTATGGGTGCTGTTGCTGCAGGGTCCCACTGCAGCGGTATGGGTGCTGTTGCTGTGTTCCGGTGCAGCGCTACGGGTGCTATCCCTGTGTGTCCCAGTGCAGCTCTATGGGTGCTGTCACTGCAGGGTCCCAGTGCAGCGCTATGGGTGCTGTCGTTGTGTGTCCCAGTGCAGCGCTATGGGTGCTGTCCTTTGTGTTCCAGTGCAGCGCTATGGGTGCTGTCGCTGCAGGGTCCCAGTGCAGCGCTATGGGTGCTGTCACTGCAGGGTCTCAGTGCAGCGGTATGGGTGCTGTCCTTTGTGTTCCAGTGCAGCGCTATGGGTGCTGTCGCTGTGTGTCCCAGTGCAGCTCTATGGGTGCTGTCCCTGTGTTTCCCAGTGCAGCGCTATGGGTGCTATCCCTGTGTGTCCCAGTGCAGCTCTATGGGTGCTGTCACTGCAGGGTCCCAGTGCAGCGCTATGGGTGCTGTCGTTGTGTGTCCCAGTGCAGCGCTATGGGTGCTGTCACTGCATGGTCCCAGTGCAGCGCTATGGGTGCTGTCTCTGTGTCCCAGTGCAGCGCTATGGGTGCTGTCCCTTTGTGTTCCAGTGCAGCTCTATGGGTGCTGTCGCTGCAGGGTCCCAGTGCAGCGCTATGGGTGCTGTCCCTGTGTTTCCCAGGGCAGCGCTATGGGTGCTGTCCCTGTGTTTCCCAGTGCAGCGCTATGGGTGCTGTTACTGTGTTTCCCAGTGCAGCGCTATGGGTGCTGTCGCTGCAGGGTCCCGGTGCAGCGCTATGGGTGCTGTCTCTGTGTCCCAGTGCAGCGCTATGTGTGCTGTCCCTTTGTGTTCCAGTGCAGCGCTATGGGTGCTGTTGCTGCAGGGTCCCAGTGCAGCGCTGTGGGTGCTGTTGCTGTGTCCCGGTGCAGCGCTATGGGTGCTATCCCTGTGTGTCCCTGTGCAGCTCTATGGGTGCTGTCACTGCAGGGTCCCAGTGCAGCGCTATGGGTGCTGTCGTTGTGTGTCCCAGTGCAGCGCTATGGGTGCTGTCACTGCAGGGTCCCAGTGCAGCGCTATGGGTGCTGTCTCTGTGTCCCAGTGCAGCGCTATGGGTGCTGTCCCTTTGTGTTCCAGTGCAGCGCTATGGGTGCTGTCGCTGCAGGGTCCCAGTGCAGCGCTATGGGTGCTGTCACTGCAGGGTCTCAGTGCAGCGCTATGGGTGCTGTCCCTGTGTGTCCCAGTGCAGCGCTATGGGTGCTGTTACTGTGTCCCAGTGCAGCGCTATGGGTGCTGTTACTGTGTCCCAGTGCAGCGCTATGGGTGCTGTCCCTGTGTTTCCCAGTGCAGCGCTATGGGTTCTTTCGCTGCAGGGTCCCAGTGCAGCGCTATGGGTGCTGTCACTGCAGGGTCCCAGTGCAGCGCTATGGGTGCTGTCACTGCAGGGTCTCAGTGCAGCGCTATGGGTGCTGTCCCTGTGTTTCCCAGTGCAGCGCTATGGGTGCTGTTACTGTGTCCCAGTGCAGCTCTATGGGTGCTGTCACTGCAGGGTCCCAGTGCAGCGCTATGGGTGCTGTCATTGTGTGTCCCAGTGCAGCGCTATGGGTGCTGTCACTGCAGGGTCCCAGTGCAGCGCTATGGGTGCTGTCGCTGTGTGTCCCGGTGCAGCGCTATGGGTGCTGTTGCTGAGTGTCCCCGTGCAGCGCTATGGGTGCTGTCACCGTGTCCCGGTGCAGCGCTATGGGTGCTGTCGCTGTGTCCCAGTGCAGCGCTATGGGCGCTGTTGCTGAGTGTCCCCGTGCAGCGCTATGGGTGCTGCCCCTGTGTCCCAGTGCAGCGCTATGGGTGCTGTCGCTGTGTCCCGGTGCAGCGCTATGGGTGCTGTCATTCCGCCCCGGGCGCTGTCATTCCGCTCCTTGCCGCAGGTGGCGCCACCTCTCGCTGCGCTGCTGCAGCATCGGGGCCGCGGCCGCGGAGCGCATCGGGAGGAGCCTCTCGACCCCCGGGAGCTGCAACCGGCGCCTCGAGTCGCTGGTGCTGAGCTTCAACCGCATCGGGGACCGCGGCGCCCAGCGAATCGCAGAGGTGGGCACCGGCCCGCGGGGCCTTTGCCCCTGTGCCGGCACACCCTGCACCCAGCACCCTGCATCAAACACCCAGCACCCAGCACCTGCACCCTGCATCAAACACCCTGCACCCAGCACCTGCACCCTGCATCAAACACCCAGCACCCAGCACCTGCACCCTGCATCAAACACCCTGCACCCAGCACCTGCACCCTGCATCAAACACCCTGCACCCAGCACCTGCACCCTGCATCAAACACCCAGCACCCAGCACCTGCACCCTGCATCAAACACCCTGCACCCAGCACCCTGCATCAAACACCCTGCACCCAGCACCTGCACCCTGCATCAAACACCCTGCACCCAGCACCTGCACCCAGCAACAAACACCCTGCACCCAGCACCTGCACCCTGCAACAAACACCCAGCACCCAGCACCCTGCATCAAACACCCTGCACCCAGCACCTGCACCCAGCACCAAACACCCTGCACCCAGCACCTGCACCCTGCAACAAACACCCTGCACCCTGCACCCTGCATCAAACACCCTGCACCCTGCACCCTGCATCAAACACCCTGCACCCAGCACCCTGCATCAAACACCCTGCACCCTGCACCCTGCATCAAACACCCAGCACCTGCACCCTGCACCAAACACCCAGCACCCAGCACCTGCACCCAGCAACAAACACCCTTCCCGCACCCTGCACCCAGCAACAAACACCCTGCACCCTGCACCCCGCACCTGCACCCAGCACCCAGCAACAAACACCCTGCACCCTGCACCCCGCACCTGCACCCAGCACCTGCACCCAGCACCCTGCACCAAACACCCTCCCAGTACCCTGCATCCAGCACCCTGCAACAAACACCCAGCACCCTGCACACCCTGTCAGCACCCTGCACCCAGCACCCTGCACCAAACATCCTGCACCCTGCACCAAACACCCAACACCCAGCACCACGCATCCAACACCCAGCACCCTGCACACCCTTTCAGCACCCTGCACCAAACACCCAGCACCCTGCACACCCTGTCAGCACCCTGCACCCTGCACCAAACACCCAGCACCCTGCACCCAGCACCAGCATCCTGCACCCAGCACCCTGCAACCAGCACCCCGCAACCAGCACCCCGCACCCAACACTATCAGCCATACCCTGCATCCAGCATCAGCGTCCTGCATCCAGCACCCTGCACCCAATACCCAGTGCCAGTACCCTGCACCTGGCATCAGCATCCTGCACCCAGCACCCTGCACACATCACCCTGCACCCATTACCTTGCACCAGTACTCATCATCCAGTGCCAGCGACCAGTACCAGCACCCTGCACCAGTATGCATCACCCATATCCAGCACCCATACCCTGCACCCATTACCCATCACCAGTACCCATCACCCTGCACCCAGTACACTGCACCCATTACCCAGCACCATATGCAGGCCTAGCATGTAGTACCTGCACCCTCCACCTTTCATCCCACACCCAGTACCCATCACCCACACCTGTTACCCATCACCCTGCACCCAGCACCCAGCACCCATTACCCTGCACCAGTACCCATCACCCATCACCTTTCATCCTGCACCCATCACTCATGACCCCGCACCCATCACCCAGTACCCATCACCCCGCACCCAGCACCCATCACCTTTCATCCCGCACCCGTTACCCATCACCCGTCACCCATCACCCAGTACCCATTACCCAGTACCCATCACCCTGCACCCATCACTTTTCATCCCACACCCATTACCCAGTACCCACCACCCTGCACCCATCACCTTTCATCCCGCACCCATCATCCAGTACCCACCACCCTGCACCCATCACCTTTCATCCTGCACCCATCACTCATGACCCCGCACCCATCACCCAGTACCCATCACCCCGCACCCAGCACCTTTCATCCGGCACCCATCACCTTTCATCCCGCATCCATTACCCATCACCTGTCACCCGTCACCCACCACCCCGCACCCAGCACCCATCACCCCTCACCCATCGCCCTCACCCCGCACCCATCATCCTCACCCCGCACCCATCACCCCGCACCCATCGCCCTCACCCCGCACCCATCACCCCGCACCCATCGCCCTCACCCCTCACCCATCACCCTCACCCGGCACCCATCACCCTCACCCCGCACCCATCGCCCTCACCCCGCACCCATCACCCCGCACCCATCGCCCTCACCCTGCACCCATCACCCCGCACCCATTGCCCTCACCCTGCACCCATCACCCCGCACCCATTGCCCTCACCCTGCACCCATCACCCCGCACCCATCGCCCTCACCCCGCACCCATCACCCCGCACCCATCGCCCTCACCCCTCACCCCGCACCCATCACCCCGCACCCATCGCCCTCACCCCGCACCCATCGCCCTCACCCCGCACCCATCACCCCGCACCCATCGCCCTCACCCCGCACCCATCACCCCGCACCCATCACCCTCACCCCGCACCCATCCCCCCGCACCCATTGCCCTCACCCCGCACCCATCACCCCGCACCCATCCCCCCGCACCCATCACCCTCACCCCTCACCCATCACCCCGCACCCATCACCCTCACCCCTCACCCCTCACCCATCCCCCCGCACCCATCGCCCTCACCCCGCACCCATCACCCCGCACCCATCACCCTCACCCCTCACCCATCCCCCCGCACCCATCACCCTCACCCCTCACCCATCACCCATCACCCATCGCCCTCACCCCTCACCCATCACCCGGCTCCCTCCCGTCCCTCAGGGGCTGCGCCTGAACCGCTCCCTGCTCTCCCTGTCCCTGGCCAGCAACGACATCGGTGACGCCGGGGCCTCGGCGCTGGCCCAGGTGGGTGCCCCCGCTCCCGGTGCCTCGGCCGCGGCTCTCTCCGGGACCGCTCCCGCTCCCGCCGCTGCCCGCAGGTGCTGGCTCCCTTCGCGCTCACCCCCGAGGAGGAGGCGCAGCGGCGGCGGCTGCTCCTGGCGCGGGCCCTGGGGCGCTCCCGTGCGGTGAGGACCCCCCCCCCCCCCCCAACCCCATCCGGGGGGGTCCCAGCGCTGATCCCGTCCCTGTTCCCCCCCCCCAAGGAGCCCGAGCCCCGCGGAGACCCCGCTGCGGGCGGCAAAGGGGCCCCGGCCCGGCCCGGCAGAGCCGGCCCCAGGAGCAAGGTGAGAGCGGGGCCGGGCCCCACGGGGCGCCGGGGGGGGGCAGCGCCCTCAGGGCCCCTGCCCCGTCCATTGCAGGAACCGCAGCGGAAAGAGGAGCTCAAACAGAGCAAGAAGCGTGAGAGGGGCTGCGAGGGGCGGAGGGAACAGTGGGGATGGGAAGGATGGGGCTGGGGGCACAGGGGGGCCGGGGCAGGGTGAGGTTGGGGGCACAGGGGGGCACAGGGGGTCAGGGGCAGGGTGAGGTTGGGGGGCACAGGGGGGGCACAGGGGGTCAGGGGCAGGGTGAGGTTGGGGGGCACGGGGGGGCACAGGGGGTCAGGGGCAGGATGAGGTTGGGGGGCACAGGGGGGGCACAGGGGGTCAGGGGCAGGGTGAGGTTGGGGGGCACAGGGGGGGCACAGGGGGTCAGGGGCAGGGTGAGGTTGGGGGCACAGGGGGGCCGGATGGGGTTGGGGGGGCACAGGGGGTCAGGGGCTGGATGAGGTTGGGGGGCACAGGGGGGGCACAGTGGGGCCGGGAGCAGGATGAGGTTGGGGGGCACAGGGGGTCAGGGGCAGGATGAGGTTGGGGGCACAGGGGGGCACAGGGGGGGCACAGGGGGCCGGGGGCAGGATGAGGTTGGGGGCACAGAGGGGGGCACAGGGGGGGCACAGGGGGTCAGGGGCAGGGTGAGGTTGGGGGGCACAGGGGGGGCACAGGGGGGCAGGGGCAGGATGAGGTTGGGGGGCACAGGGGGGGCACAGGGGGGGCACAGGGGGTCAGGGGCTGGGTGAGGTTGGGGGCACAGGGGGGGCACAGGGGGGGCACAGGGGGTCAGGGGCAGGGTGAGGTTGGGGGCACAGGGGGGGCACAGGGGGGGCACAGGGGGTCAGGGGCTGGGTGAGGTTGGGGGCACAGGGGGGGCACAGGGGGTCAGGGGCAGGGTGAGGTTGGGGGCACAGTGGGACTGGGGCAGGGTGAGGTTGGGGGCACAGGGGGGGCACAGGGGGTCAGGGGCAGGGTGAGGTTGGGGGCACAGGGGGGGCACAGGGGGGGCACAGGGGGTCAGGGGCTGGGTGAGGTTGGGGGCACAGGGGGGGCACAGGGGGTCAGGGGCAGGATGAGGTTGGGGGGCACAGGGGGGGCACAGTGGGGCCGGGGGCAGGATGAGGTTGGGGGGCACAGGGGGGGCACAGGGGGGCCGGGGGCAGGATGAGGTTGGGGGGCACAGGGGGGGCACAGGGGGTCAGGGGCAGGGTGAGGTTGGGGGGCACGGGGGGGCACAGGGGGTCAGGGGCAGGATGAGGTTGGGGGGCACAGGGGGGGCACAGGGGGTCAGGGGCAGGATGAGGTTGGGGGCACAGGGGGGGCACAGGGGGGTCGCAGTGGTCCCGGGTCTCCCCTGGGGCCCGCCCCGGCTCAGCCCCGTGCCCGCTCCCCGGCAGCGCCGGAGCCGAAGCCGGGCGCGCAGAAGCCGAGCGCGGCCGCGGAGCCGCTGCCGGGCGCGGGCGGCCCCGGGGCGCTGCTGCCCGGGAACCGCTCCCTGCGCAGCCTCAGCCTGGACCGTGAGTGCGGGGGGGGGAACGGGACCAGGACCGGGACCGGGACCCGCTGCGGGCCCTGACCCCCCCCCCCGGCCCCCCCCAGACAACCGCGTGTCCGAGCGCGGCCTCGGAGCCTTCCTGGCGGCGCTGGAAGCGCAGCAGCGCGAGGAGCCCAAGGGGCCCGGGCAGCAGGGGCTGGAGCGGCTCGGGCTGGAGGTGCCGGGGGGGGGGCGTCGTGTGGGGCTGGTGCTGCCGTGGGGTTGGTACTGACATGGGGCTGGTGCTGCCGTGGGGCTGGGATTGACATGGGGCTGGGATTGACATGGGGTTGGTGCTGCCGTGGGGTTGGTGCTGCCATGGGGCTGGGATTGCCATGGGGCTGGGATTGACATGGGGCTGGGATTGACATGGGGCTGGTGCTGCCGTGGGGCTGGGATTGACATGGGGCTGGTACTGCCATGGGGCTGGCATCACCTTTGGGATGCCATCATGTGGGGCTGGCATCACCGTGGGGCTGGCATCACCATGGGGCTGGTACTGCCATGGGGCTGGCATCAGCGTGGGTCTGACACCCCCTTCCCTGCAGAGCAACCGCATCCCTCCCACCAGCCCGGCCCTGGCCCGGCTGCAGGAGCTGCTGCCGCTGGAGCCCGGTCCCAAAGCCCCGGAGCAGGAGGAGGAGCAGGATGCGGGCACTTAGGGCGGTCCCGGTCCCGGTCCCGGGTCCTGGCCTTCCCCTTGGAAACCAACCCCAAACCCTTGTGTGGAGAGGAGGAAAAGAACCGGGATCCGGGAGGGAAAGAACTGGGATCCGGGAGGAAAAGAACCGGGATCCGGGAGGGAAAGAACCGGGATCCGGGAGGAAAAGAACCGGGATCCGGGAGGAAAAGAACCGGGATCCGGGAGGAAAAGAACCGGGATCCGGGAGGGAAAGAACCGGGATCCGGGAGGGAAAGAACCGGGATCCGGGAGGGAAAGAACCGGGTTCCAGGAGAGAAAGAACCGGGATCCGGGAGGAAAAGAACCGGGATCCAGGAGGGAAAGAACCGGGATCCGGGAGGAAAAGAACCGGGATCCAGGAGGGAAAGAACCGGGATCCAGGAGGGAAAGAACGGGGATCCGGGAGGAAAAGAACCGGGATCCAGGAGGGAAAGAACGGGGATCCGGGAGGAAAAGAACGGGGATCCGGGAGGGAAAGAACTGGGATCCGGGAGGGAAAGAACCGGGATCTGGGAGGGAAAGAACCGGGATCCAGGAGGAAAAGAACCGGGATCCGGGAGGAAAAGAACCGGGATCCAGGAGGGAAAGAACGGGGATCCGGGAGGAAAAGAACCGGGATCCAGGAGGGAAAGAACGGGGATCCGGGAGGAAAAGAACCGGGATCCAGGAGGTCCAACCGCACCGCTCGCTCTCGGCTCTATTATATATAATATATATATGGGCCCCCCCGCGCCGGCCTCGCCGCGACACCCGGGAGGGGGAGATGGGACCTGGCTCCCCCTGGGGTCACCGACTGGCACCGGGGGGGGGACACCCGGTGCAGGGGGGCCGCGGGTGGGTATTTACAGGGGGGGCACGTACGTACATATTTATAGGTGGGGGGGCCGCAGCGCGGGGGGACAGAACAAAGTGCATTTATACAGACCGGATCCAGCTCCCGCGGGGGGGCCCGATGGGTGCCATGGGGGGGCCCGATGGGTGCCATGGGGGGGCCCATAGGGGCTCCCTCCTGCCAGCCCAGCCCACAGCTGGGGGGGGGGGGCTTGGGGGGGGCCCCACTGCTGCTAAAGGTCAGGAGGGGGGGCCTCGGCCAGGGGGGCTCTGGAGCCTGGAAGAGAGGGGAGAGGGGTGAGGAATGGGGGGGGAGGATGGAGGGGGGGGGATATCATGGGATAGAGGGGGGGGTCTGCATGGAAGTGATGGGGATGTGATGGGATGGAGGGGGGGCTCTGCATGGAAATGATGGGATGGAGGGGGGGCTCTGCATGGAAGCGATGGGGATGTGATGGGATGGAGGGGGGGCTCTGCATGGAAGCGATGGGGATGTGATGGGATGGAGGGGGGGCTCTGCATGGAAGTGATGGGGATGTGATGGGATGGAGGGGGGGTCTGCATGGAAGTGATGGGGATGTGATGGGATGGAGGGGGGGCTCTGCATGGAAGTGATGGGGATGTGATGGGATGGAGAGGGGCTCTGCATGGAAGCGATGGGGAGATGAGATGGGATGGAGGGGGGGCTCTGCATGGAAGTGATGGGGATGTGATGGGATGGAGGGGGGGTCTGCATGGAAGTGATGGGGATGTGATGGGATGGAGGGGGGGGCTCTGCATGGAAGTGATGGGGATGTGATGGGATGGAGGGGGGGCTCTGCATGGAAGCGATGGGGGGATGTGATGGGATGGAGGGGGGCTCTGCATGGAAGTGATGGGGATGTGATGGGATGGAGGGGGGCTCTGCATGGAAGTGATGGGGATGTGATGGGATGGAGGGGGGGCTCTGCATGGAAGCGATGGGGGGATGTGATGGGATGGAGGGGGGGCTCTGCATGGAAGCGATGGGGATGTGACGGGATGGAGGGGGGGCTCTGCATGGAAGTGATGGGGATGTGATGGGATGGAGGGGGGGCTCTGCATGGAAGTGATGGGGATGTGATGGGATGGAGGGGGGGCTCTGCATGGAAGTGATGGGGGGATGTGATGGGATGGAGGGGGGGCTCTGCATGGAAGCGATGGGGATGTGACGGGATGGAGGGGGGGCTCTGCATGGAAGTGATGGGGATGTGATGGGATGGAGGGGGGGCTCTGCATGGAAGTGATGGGGATGTGATGGGATGGAGGGGGGGCTCTGCATGGAAGTGATGGGGATGTGACGGGATGGAGGGGGGGCTCTGCATGGAAGTGATGGGGATGTGATGGGATGGAGGGGGGGCTCTGCATGGAAGTGATGGGGATGTGATGGGATGGAGGGGGGGCTCTGCATGGAAGCGATGGGGGGATGTGATGGGATGGAGGGGGGCTCTGCATGGAAGTGATGGGGATGTGATGGGATGGAGGGGGGCTCTGCATGGAAGTGATGGGGGGATGTGATGGGATGGAGGGGGGCTCTGCATGGAAGCGATGGGGATGTGATGGGATGGAGGGGGGCTCTGCATGGAAGCAATGGGGATGTGATGGGATGGAGGGGGGGCTCTGCATGGAAGCGATGGGGGGATGTGATGGGATGGAGGGGGGGCTCTGCATGGAAGCGATGGGGATGTGACGGGATGGAGGGGGGGCTCTGCATGGAAGTGATGGGGATGTGATGGGATGGAGGGGGGGCTCTGCATGGAAGTGATGGGGATGTGATGGGATGGAGGGGGGGCTCTGCATGGAAGTGATGGGGGGATGTGATGGGATGGAGGGGGGGCTCTGCATGGAAGCGATGGGGATGTGACGGGATGGAGGGGGGGCTCTGCATGGAAGTGATGGGGATGTGATGGGATGGAGGGGGGGCTCTGCATGGAAGTGATGGGGATGTGATGGGATGGAGGGGGGGCTCTGCATGGAAGTGATGGGGATGTGACGGGATGGAGGGGGGGCTCTGCATGGAAGTGATGGGGATGTGATGGGATGGAGGGGGGGCTCTGCATGGAAGTGATGGGGATGTGATGGGATGGAGGGGGGGCTCTGCATGGAAGCGATGGGGGGATGTGATGGGATGGAGGGGGGCTCTGCATGGAAGTGATGGGGATGTGATGGGATGGAGGGGGGCTCTGCATGGAAGTGATGGGGGGATGTGATGGGATGGAGGGGGGCTCTGCATGGAAGCGATGGGGATGTGATGGGATGGAGGGGGGCTCTGCATGGAAGCAATGGGGATGTGATGGGATGGAGGGGGGGCTCTGCATGGAAGCGATGGGGGGATGTGATGGGATGGAGGGGGGGCTCTGCATGGAAGCGATGGGGATGTGACGGGATGGAGGGGGGGCTCTGCATGGAAGTGATGGGGATGTGATGGGATGGAGGGGGGGCTCTGCATGGAAGCGATGGGGGGATGTGATGGGATGGAGGGGGGACTCTGCATGGAAATGATGGGATGGAGGGGGCTCTTACCTGGGGCACTGGTGGCAGGCCCCTGCAAGCTCCGCAGGGCACGGGACAAGGGACTGTCGCTGTCGGGGCTGGGGGGCTGCTGGCCCCATGGCTCCATCTCTGGGGCTGAGCCCCCCAGGGGGGTGGCATCGGCTGAGGAGCTGCGCCCCAGCGACCGCAACAGCTCCCGATGGGCTCTTTCCACAGCCTGGAGCAGAGAAATGGGGTCATGGAGAGGGGGGCACACAACACCCAATGACCCCCCCATAACGTGCCCCCCCCCCCCAGCTCCCCATGCCCGGCTTGGGGCTCACCTTCAGCCTGTTGAGCTTCAACGTGAGCTGCTCGATGGTGCGGAAGATGAGGTCCACGTCCCCGGGGGGAGCCTCGGGGGGGCTCAGCTGGGCCGGTGGCTCCCTGGGGGGGCTCGGTGGGGGCACTGGTGGCAGCCCCATGGGCATGCTCACATAGAAGTAGTTGCCTTGAGAGGGGATGAGCAGCGTTAGGGGGCAGGGACCCATGCGGGGAGGTGCTGGTGGTGTCACGGGGGGGTTTGCTGTGTCCCCCCCATGCAGGATGTGTCCCTTTGTGGTGGGATAAGGACACAGACCCGGCCCCAGCTCACTCTGGGTCCTGGCTGTGGTGGCACGGGGTGGCCCTGGCCATGGGGCCAGTCCTTAGGGACAGTGTGGGGGGGGTGTGTGTGTCCCTCAAAGGACAGGACCCCCGAGTGCCAACGGCCCCCCCACCAGGGTCTCATGTGCCATTAGAGGATGAGGCCTCCTGGGGCCACAGGGACAACAATGGGGCCACCGAGACATGGGGAGGGGGGGCTCTTTACCATCTACATTAGCTCCGCCTCCTTCCTGCAGCTCAGTTTCTGATTGGCTGCTACCTGGAGAGGGCGTGGCCTCCTTGCCCCCCTCTGCCCGGGCTGTGCACCCCGAAAAGAAAGGGGGGGTCGGGGAAAGGGGGTGAGCAGAGCCCGCACCCAGCACTGGCACCCATCAGCATCCCAGCACAGGAACCCCATCACCAGCACCCCTCACCTGCACCCATCAGCATCCCAGCACAGGAACCCCATCACCAGCACCCCTCACCTGCACCCATCAGCATCCCAGCACCAGAACCCCAGCATCAGCACCCAGCATCCAACACCAGAACCCCACCACCAGCACCCATCAGCACCCAATCACCAGTATTTGTCAGCACCCCCTCACCAGCACCCATCAGCACCCCACCACCAGTATCCATCAGCATCCCACCACCAGTATCCATCAGCACCCCACCACCAGTATCCATCAGCACCCCACCACCAGTATCCATCAGCATCCCACCACCAGCACCCATCAGCACCCCACCACCAGTATCCATCAGCATCCCACCACCAGTATCCATCAGCACCCCACCACCAGTATCCATCAGCATCCCACCACCAGTATCCATCAGCATCCCACCACCAGTATCCATCAGCACCCCACCACCAGTATCCATCAGCATCCCACCACCAGCACCAATCAGCACCCCACCACCAGCACTCATCAGCATCCCACCACCAGCACCCATCAGCACCCCACCACCAGCACCAATCAGCACCCATGCAAGCCCCGGCACCCTGGGGTGCACAGTGGACGGGGGGGGGTTCACGAGCATCCCTCAGCCCCCATTGTGAGCCCCCAGCCCCGATCCAGCAGCGCTCACTTGGGCGGGTGGCAGCGAGACCCCAAATCCCAGCCTGGGGCAGGTCAGGGAGAGGAGAGGGGAGGGAGGAAGAGGAAGAGGAGGAAAGGGGGGGTCCCCCCGTGCCCGCCCACCCAAGCCCCCTCCCGCCACCTTTCCGGACGACTCTGAGCTCCTCGGCGGGTCCCGGTCCCGGCCCGTCCCGGGGCTCCGCGTCCTCGGGGGGCTCCGCCAGCGCCTCCTGCAGGGCCGAGTCCTGGCCGCAGAGCACCGAGTCCCAGGCCTGGCCCGCGGCCCCGCTCACCGACGGCGTGGGGGTGAGCTCGTCCTCGGGCTCCGCGTCCCGGCCCGGCACCAGCCGCCGCAGCAGCAGCACCCGCAGGCTCTCCACTGCCGCGGGTGAAAGAGGAGTCAGAGCCTCCACGGGGAGGGCGGCATCAGGGGGAAAGGGAGGAGGAGGAAAGGGGAGAGAGGAGGAGGAGGAGAAAGAAAGAGGAGAGGAGGAAGAGAAGGGAGGAAGGAGAAAAAAAGGAAAGGAAGAGAAGGAGAAGGAAGAAGGGAAGGAGGAGAAGGAGAGGAGAAGAAGGAGGAAAGGAGGAGGAGGAGAGGAGGAGAAAGAAAGAGGAGAGGAGGAAGAGAAAGAGAAGGCAAGGAGGAGAAGGATGAGGAGAGGAGGAGG